ATGCTGGAGAGGGTGTGGAGAAAAGGGAACCCTCCTACACTGTTGATGGGAATGCAGTTTGGTGCAGCTGTTAAGGAAAACAGTATGGAGATTCCTCAAAAGACAAAAAAACAGACTTAACATATGATCTGCCAGACCTTAATTCAAAGAGATACATGCACCCCCCCCCAATCATAAGAAAGAATAAAATAATGCCATTTGCAGCAACATGGATGGACCTGGAGAATGTCATATAAGCCATTCTCTCTTATTAAGCATCATAGATGAGTAAATTTACATTCAACTAAAATATTTTGAGATTTTTCTGAGTTTTGTTCTGCTTAATATCTCATATGCTCCTGTAGTCCCTAATATTTAGTTTTCTTAGCTCTAAATTTTCATCCACTATCACATGCACCAGCAACAGCATCACCAAAATGGTTGATTGGAGAGAGAAATGATTAAAAAAATTAGAGGTCTTACTTACTCTCGGAAGTTGTATTAAACAACCTTGCTCTGAATCAGTTTGAGTCAATTGGATATTTCAACTATGAGAAAAGCTGTAGGGTCATTGGGAACATCTAGCATACCATTGTTCAGTAGGACTCTAAGGCACTTATGTAATTTTTTTCTCCAGAAAGTCTTAAAATCTATTGTATACTTTACTTTAATATCTCAATTTGGACTAACTAACTACATTTCAAGTTATAAGTAGCCACAGGTTGCTAGTGGCTACCATATTGAACAGCATAGATAAAGAGGTTCAGATCACATTATTTTTCTTTCCCTATGAACAAAACGAATGATTTAAACTTACTTCTGCTTTACTGTGTTGTTAGGCTGTGTATTGATATTTGATAAGAGAGTAGGAAGAAGCCATACATTTAAGAAATGATTATTTAAAAAGACTCCTGATCATACTACCCAAGGTAATTTACAGATTCAGTGCAATTTTTTTCACAGAACTAGAACAAAAATTAAAAGTATTTTGGCTACTCAGTGTCTAGAAAAAATTTTTGAGTAAGAAGGATGGAGCTGGAGAAATTATGCTTCCTGGCTTCAGACTACTATGGAATTATTCTCTTTTATGACTGAGTAATATTCCACTAAATGTATATATTTACCACATCTTCTTCCAGATCAATGGAACAGGATAAAAAGCTCAGAAATAAACCCACACACTTACCGGTCAATTAACCTATGACAAAGAGGCAAGAATATATGGTGGAGAAAAGACAGTCTCTTTGATAAGTACTGCTGGGAAAACTGGACAGTTAGTTACATATAAAAGAATGAAATTAGAACATTCTCTAATACCATATACAGAAAAAAATTCAAAATGGATTAAAGACCTAAATGTAAAGACAAGATACTATAAAACTCCTAGACAAAAAACATAGGCAGAATACTCTTGGACACAAATCACAGCAATATTTTTTTTGGATTCATCTTCTAGAGTATGGGACCTAATTAAGCTTAAAAGCTAAACAACAAAGGAAACCATCAGCAAAACGACAACCTACAAAATGGGAAAAGACAACATTTGCGAACAGTGAGACCAACAAGGGATTAATTTCCATAAGTAGATAAACAACCTAATCCAAAAAATGGGTAGAATACCTAAACAGACATTTCTCCAAAGAAAACACACAGATGGCCAACAGGCACATGAAAAGATGCTCAACATCACTGACATGCAAATCAGAATTACAATTAGATAGATCTCATGTAGATCAGAATGGTCATCATTAAAAAAATCCACAAACAATATATACTGGAGAGGATGTGGAGAAAAGGGAACTCTCCTACATACATTGTTGGCTACTATGGAGAACAGTATGGAGATTCCTCGAAAGACTAAAAATAGACTTACCTTACAATCCAGCAATCCCACTCCTGGGCAAATATCCAGAGGGAACCTTAATTCAAAAAGATACATGCAGCACTTTACAATAGCTAAGACATGGAAGCAACCTACATGTCTATTGACAAATGACTGGATAAAGAAGATGGAGATTATATATATATACACACATACATATGCATATACATATACACACACAATGGACTATTACTCAGCCACAAAAAGAATGAAATAATGCCATTTGTAGCAGCATGCATGGACCTGGAGATTATTACACTAAGTGAAGTAAGTCAAAGACAAATATCTTATATTTGGAATCAAAAAGAGTGATAGAAAGGCATTTATTTACAAACTAGACTCACAGACGTAGAAAATTTATGGTTACCACAGGGGAAAAGAGGGGAGGGATACGTTAGGGATTTGGGATTAACAGACACACATTATCATATATAAAAT